AAGAAACGTCATCTCCTTATAAGGGGGCCACACCCTGTATGAGTCATTGACATCATTCACCCTTATTAAAACAGGATGGAATAGTGTCGACCTCTTAAGGGACGTCATGTATAAGTAGCACATGACTCTTATAGTCGGCATTGTTGGTACGTTCATTCTACAAGAGCATGTCTCCCTATTTGTAAAGTTCAAATTTGAAAATAAGAAGTTTTTAAAAGTTTTAAAAAAAAATTAAATTCAAATTCAAAATTAAAAAAAAAAAAATTTAAATTATATAAATTTTTTTTTTTTAAATATAAAAAATAAAAAATATTTTGAAAATCGAAAAAAATCACTGCATAAAATTGATCAACCTATCAAACGTCTATAAGAATGTCTGAAGCAAAACTTGTAACTAAACGATGGATGAATTTTACCTTTACGTATCGAGCGAGGATTCTCTTTCGCTTTTTGAAAATAATAACGGTAGCACATTTAGGATTCAACTTCACAAAAGCTACATATTGGACGGAGAATGGAAATGTGCACTGCTAGTGTTATCGTTCGTACCGAAATTTCCAATACCAACGAGACGGGTCTTCTTTTGCTCGGACTATGTGATCGACACGTACGCCCGGGAAATGTCTCTACAAATTCTTCAATCGGCAGGGGTTTTGAACGAAGATATCGCGGAAATCGTAAATGAAAAACCAATTTACCTCAAAGTAACCAGAAACGAATTGTACCAAATCGAATTCGATGATAATCTCAAAGTATGTCGCCCGAAGGATGACCACCAGTTTTGCTTGCTGCATTTTCGCAAGAAACCTATAAGAGGAGATTGTATACACATGCAGAAAAGGTGAAAATGTTTCAGTGCAACCTATGTCGAATCGTGTATGCTTGGCCACATGATCTTCGAAGACATATGAGAAACAAACATGCACAGCAGCAGAAACAACAACACCACCAGCAGCAGCAACCTCAACAGCAGCAGCAGCAGTTCCTTCCTCTGAAAAAGGAATACGAATTTTCTGGGTGGCAGCAGCAGCGGCGCAGCAGCGGCGCAGCAGCAGTAACAGCTAGACCTTCCCCTGTATCTATACAACATACCTACAGACGTGTTATTCAACAAGGCAGTCAATATATGTTCCCATATCATTATCTGTATATTTTTTTTATTAAACATTATTAAACATAAGATCAAACCTCATTTCAATCTTAATTTTGTCATTACGAAATCACAAAACAGCTTATTCGCTAGCTTTATTAAATCTGACAGAGAGAAAAAAAAACCAAAGGCGAGGAAAAGTATTTTGCATGTCTCTTTAACCGATGTTAATTCATTCTTTGATCTTAACGTTGTTTGGTAAACGCCCAGTAGCTGACACTCCCGACACATGTTCACCTGATCTTTGAGAATATGTGTCTGAATCTAATATGGTGGCTTTTATGTTGTTAACACACACACGGAATAAATGGGGGAAAAACATGATATGAGCAAAAGTTTTATTATGATCAATATTTCATCAAAGCTGATTGATTGTGTACCAAAATATCAGAATGAAAATAACGCAATGAGTTTTCTGTCGTTGGCGTCCAGGTCGACCGATGAAAAGTCATTCAATACATCTTCCATCTTGATACTCTGACATCTCATTTTCATGTAATAGACGCAGTATAGTCCACATGTTACCGAAAATTCGGGTTGAATTTGACATCGAGAAAATCGGTACTGGGGTCCGTTAACGATGAGAACATTTCTAAAATGTTGTTGGTATGTCTCTGGTGTTCTTCCTAGGGAGTCAAAAAACTCGGGCGGTCCCGATATAGGAAAATGAAAGGCCACCCAATGAGTTCCTTCCTGGTTACAGTTGGCCGTGTTGACCACGTAGGTTTTAGGTCTGTCACTCACATAGGCTGGTAAGTCGTCTGCACAGCAAACGGTGGTCGACGTTCCCCTCAAAATTCCCTCTAGTGCCTCGCCAGACATTGGTAGGCGAATCGATTTCCATCGACAATTATGGTGTCCAAAACCATTATGGTATCTTTCGCCTCTCTTATTGATAGTTTGACTTCCTTATTTTTATGTTTGATCACAAAAGCATCGAGAGTAATGTTCAGTAATCCTGGTCGACTGGCTTCATTTGCATATTTTGAAGGTTTTTTTCGACAAAACAGGATTTGAGTGCACTGTAAAATTGATTTTGCAGTCGGTTGGCACTATTGGGTATATTTGTCCACTCATATTCATATTAATTCATTCTCCTTTGTATCACCATAAAATTTGTATTCCTTTCCTTTTAAATAAGTTTTGCATTGTCGCACAAAACGTAAAAAAAGTATAACAAAAATACCGAACCCCAAGGTAAATTCAAAAAGGGGGAAGTTCATAAAACTGACAAAATCAAACATTAGACTTTATCAACCAACGGAACGAATGGAAAACAACTGTTATATTCCTGACTTGTACATGCATTTTCCGAAGCAAATGGTGGGTTAAGCGTTTCCTCACTGTACTCATATTAGAAATTTTATTTGCTTTTCTGTAGAATTTACCAACATCAAGAATGAGCTTAAGAGGAATACTGTCAGTAATTATATTTTTTTCTTGGGCACTGTAATAACGACACGAAATTCTAAAGATCCATATCCTTCAAAGTGGCTATGAGATAGAGTGAATATTGTAGGGTGATATCTCATATATGATATTGTAGGATGATATCTTATATATGATATTGTAGGGTGATATCTTATATATGATATTGTAGGGTGATATATATGATATTGTAGGGTGATATCTTATATATGATATTGTAGGGTGATATCTCATATATGATATTGTAGGGTGATATCTCATATATGATATTGTAGGATGATATCTTATATATGATATTGTAGGGTGATATCTTATATATGATATTGTAGGGTGATATCTCATATATGATATTGTAGGGTGATATCTTATATATGATATTGTAATAAATATGTAAATTACACTTTATAAACTTTAATTTATGCGTCTGAGGCGCTTTTCTGGATTGACCTTCATAAGAAACTCCAATAACCAAATATTTGAAAGCAGATGCCGTATAAGAACCGTTGTAACATGTCTGTTCTCCTTTTTCGTCACTATCTGTCGAGTTTTATACTTGAAACATGCAAAGATAATCAAGGGAATTTGGTATTAGTAAGATTTATTTAACACCATGAAGTTTTAACGAATTGTTCTTGTGTAAATTATCTTAGACTGTATTGAACGCAGCTTTGTCAATCAATAAACATCGATTTATCAGTCAATATTCCAACATTAAACAAAGTTGTTTGGATGGGTTTTCGTTCAAAGAATGTTCCTTCAAGAATTATCTTAACCAAATATTCCATTTTCAAGTTTGTTTATTTAAAATGGGTGAATTCCCTTTGCTTGGCGGAATTTATCTTTCATATTAAACAACGTGCCGATCAACCTTTTCCAAATCCTTAGTTCATTCACATAAAAGAAGATTTTCTTTTCTTTAACCAAAATCTTTGTTCAAATATGCAAGAAAAATAATATACACACAAATTGATCCACTCTAAACCTGTCCATATGTTTTACAAAGCATATTAGATTATGAAGCTTCGTATGTATATTCTTGAGATTTTCAATCTTGCATGATTTACAAACTTTTTAGTTAGAACCTAAGTCTTTGAAGTTTTTTTTGTTGGAAATTTTGAAGGTGACAGAATGACACACGCTTCGAAAATGACTTAGAGTGAAAATGCCTTAGAGCGAAAAATTTTAATTACTAAAAACTGAAATGTGACAGGATACACGCTGCGAAAACAACTCCAAGCGAAAATATACAATCATACGTGGATTATAGTATTTATGCTATCGGTAAATAATTAGGGGATTATCAGATCGATATTTATACGGTTATAATCTTCTGTTTAGATATAATAGTAGATGTATGAAAATGATAAGCTTATTATAGTTCATAGCAAGTTAAATAGTGTCAGGAATGTGAACTGGATGTTAAATGTAACTTAATGTTCTACGACAATCTACCTTATTTGTTTTATCGATAACGGGGTTTTGTCCTTAATGAGAGAGATTACTTTTCAATGGCAATAAGAAAACTTTGAAGACACTTGTTGAACTTCTTGTGCATAGTTTGTTTTTTGGATTATATGTTTAAAAATATTTAGTGTAAATTTTTCAATGTGAACTAAGAAATGTATTCAAAATAAAGACAAACAAGTAAGTATATTAATCCTATTATTAAGTTTTCCACTTTATGTAAAAATATGGAATTTGAAAAAAATCACTGTAACTTAGATTAAAGGAAACAATTTAGCAAATCACAGATGGAGTTTTGTATTCTCGTTTATTGGACATATAAAATCGCATTGTCTACCATTCATCATGGCACATAATAGATCGTTTTTACATTTTTCATTCTTAATATGCAAATTGAGGCCAAGTAAATAAATCTTGCATTGTAAAATGACATTTCAATTCGAACTAATGTCAAAACGATCGTGCTTGTGAATCGTTTTCATCGAATTTTGATAATTTTACAGTAATCTTAAAATAATTTGATTTTTAAATGGTCCAAAGAAACGTTTCAAACTGAGATGTTCTAATTTCATTCTTGATAATGATCACATCCTTATAATTTTACGGGTAATTTCATCTGAATTAGAAGGTGATTTTAAATTTATTCTTTAAAGATTTCTAGATATTAAAACAGAACAAAATTAGAGTTCATACACAAGTCAAACGAAGGATAAATGTTATGAACGCTCATCTTAACGTTTATATTTTGTCATGTTTCACAAGTTGTGGTCATAAAGTTTCGCTCATACAAAGAACGGCAATATATGATTTTTATCTTCAAAAGATTTAATATGTAGTTCATGAACTTGTATCTCTAATACACCAAGCTTTATCGTGTTTTGATTGAAGAAAGTTTTCATATGAACAACCGGATGCTTTAAAAATGTTGGATATATGATGTTGATTTTATTTCCAGTTTACAAGATGTTTGGATTAAAAGTTCCCGTATGTCAAAGTATTGGTTCCTCGGAATTTGACAGTATCAATACTATTTTATCTAACAGGTAAGATTCAAACCTAGCATAAAAAAATTCGGACAAAATCTAAAAAAATAATAACATCTATCATATAATCTTCACTGCAAATTCTCTTCTGATTTAATGTATACCGAAAACTGTAAATCTTTGAGGATAAGTCAGCTGTCGGTCAAGAGTTCAATACTTTATGAAATTTATCAAATACTTCTGCAGATCTCTTCATGTTGCCTAAATTTTCTCCACAAAAACGAATAATAATATTGGAAGGTAAACCTCTCTCTAGATGTTTCTGATAGAGGTTGCATTTCCTCTCCATTGTTAGCGTCATTCGAACATGAAACTATTATTTGACAAATTGTTCAACCCTAACCGTTTGTATCGTTACTTTGATGGACTAAAAATACCGGATCTTTATACATGATACCCCGTTTCCCCACATTTTGTTCTTTAACTCATCGTTTAAACCCATCAGCAGCTTATCATAAACAAACAATAAAACGTGATTTTGTGATGTTATTTCCCAGTATTTCTCCGATACATCAATTCAACGTTCCTGTTTTGCCCTTCGAGTATTTTGTTAAGTTTAAATGGGCTAGTAATCACCGGTTCCTTTATATATGTAAAAAAAATATGTCGGTACTATACGTGACACAAAATCTTCATTTGAAAGCTAACATAACAAAACCTTCATAAGCTTGTTGTTGGTGGGATGTTTTGTGTTTTGTATGACTCAAACTTCTGACCATTCTACGTATAATACAATCTGACAAGAATTGGTGTCGCACGAAAGATCAAGCACGAAACAAAAAACTTAAATTTTATGTATGTAACTCGGCTGGAGGGCAACCTCTATCACATGTATGTAACTCGACTGGAATGCAAGCTCTATTACATATATGTAACTCGGCTGGAGGGCAACCTCTATCACATGTATGTAACTCGGCTGGAGGGCAACCTCTATTACATGTATGTAACTCGGCTGGAGCGCAACCTCTATTACATGTATGTAACTCGGCTGGAGGGCAACCTCTATCACATGTATGTAACTCGGCTGGAGGGCAACCTCTATCACATGTATGTAACTCGGCTGGAGGGCAATCTCTATCACATGTATGTAACTCGGCTGGAGGGCAACCTCTATCACATGTAACTCGGCTGGAGGGCAACCTCTATCACATGTATGTGACTCGACTGGAAGGCAACCTCTATTACATGTATGTAACTCGGCTGGAGGGCAACCTCTTTCACATGTATAACTCGGCTGGAGGGCAACCTCTATTACATGTATGTAACTCGGCTGGAGGGTAACCTCTATCACATGTATGTAACTCGGCTGAAAGGCAACCTCTATTACATGTATGTAACTCAGCTGGAGCTAAAAAACGACTAGTATTAATTTATAACATTTAAGATGAATAAAACTCTGATTTCCTCTATGTTCACATCAGCTCTTGAAACGAATGTCTTTTCTTATGATAAAGATTTGATTTGAAAAATAAGCTCAATGGTCATATTGTATGTACGGGAGTTTTGTACTACAACATTTACGAGATAAATATTTTCAAGTTCAATATGTTAAAAAATTACACTCGTAAACCATTTCTGCCTATTGAATCTTACAAAATTAAGTTTCACTAAGACCGCACAAATCATTTTAACAAAACCAAACTGCCAAGGATAAAATTTTAATCGTCTGTAATTTAATTTAAATATCTAATACAAAGGATAAATTGTTTTGCAGTAACTTTTACGTTTCATTGTAAATCAAGGCAAAACATAATTAATGTCAAAATGGAGTACAAATAATTAATTTGCTTCTCAAAGGTCAATTAGATCTATTTTGTCTGTGGTGTCCCGGGACGTAAGTTAACCTCTAACCGTGGACACTTGACAATTAGACTAACCTTCATTCTGTAATAAATACAATAGACAAATTGATTCTGTAGAAAATTACCTTAATTATTAATTTGGAAGGAAATGGACAAAGCAAGAATATCAATAGATATTGATTGTGTACGGGTAGAAGAGATATCAAACGGATATTAAAATAATTCAAGACATTTAATGTGTGTGTAGAAACAGAAAAACTATAGGTTTCTATGGTGCGTTCGACTCCAATCTTAATTGACTAGGATTGTCAGTTTTCCTACCGAAGGTCGATGGTTCTCTCCGGGCACTCCGGCTTCCTCTGCCAATATAAACTGACCGCCACGAAATAGCACAATAGTGCTGGTGTGGCGTATAAACAACAATTAATCAATCAATCATTACGGTTTCTATTTTCTGTGCTTTGTGGATAACATAAACGTCTCGATATTTATCATGCAAAATCAAGTATACTTTTTCAATGTATTTAAAGTGTCAGGCTTTTGTGGTTCATAGATGTTCATAACTAAAAGTCTGAAAAAACAGGACACACATAAATAAATATACATTTTGTAGATGTAGTATCAAACGTAAATGTTATTTTGTATGCCCCCGCCGTACGCAACGGGGGCATTAAGTGTTCGTTCGTCGTTCTTCCGTCCGTCTCATTTTCGTTTCCGCACTCTAGTTTAAGTTTGCCTCATGCCAATTTTATGAAACTCAAACACAATGCTAAGACCCTTAACTAGCAGACAGAGTTCGAATTTGGGCAGTAAGTCGTTTACCGTTCTTGAGTTATGCCCATTTATAACTTGGAAATTTTTTTTCGTTTTAGCACTCTTACTCTATTTTTCCTCATCCAAATTTTATGAAACTCATACACAATGCTAATAATCATTTCGTTAAATCTTGGTGTAACAAAACCTGTTGTAATGTTTAGTAATAAACTTAACTTATCTTTAAAAACACTATTTTGACATGCAAAGAATTAATTAAAGTTTGTTTGTTTGTTTGTTTTTTGTTTTGTCTTGTTTTTGTTTTGTTTTTTATTTGTGTTTTTTTTTTTAAATTATTGATATTCCGTGTTAATTGTTTGTTTTATTAAATTTACGTTTTGGAAATAAAGTCGTCAAGGGATAGGCATTCCGATGGGGACTTACTCTATTTCTCCAATTACAAATTTACTTGAATGCTACAAATCGCACTCAAGTTATGGATAATTTTTTAGCTTCATGAAGATCAACGAGTCCATATTTTGTAGCTATTTTCAACAATACCAGCATATATTTAGACGATATACTATCTGCATACAATCAAGTGTTTTCTACATATTATATTATATACCAACTCAAATTATACTTATCAAATCCATCGTTTGAAGTAAGAATAGATTTTGATTAGACCTTGATATATGAATTTCACACGGTGTTTCCCAAGTTTATGATAAACTGGACGACTTTTCCTTTCCTACTGTTAATTTACCACTTTCTTTGGTGGTTATGTTGCCTTGGTTTCTTCTTATTTAGAGTTTACATTTGTCAGTTAATTCGATTTGCCCGCGTGTTAAATTAAATGTCTTACAAATCCTTCTTTTAGGTTTATTAGATTTGTTTTGTTGATGAAGATTATATTTATATTTTTGTCTGTCTAGCATTTGGTCTATATGGTTTGAAACAAGAAATTCACATTTCTTTTACTTTTTTCTCTATATGAAGTCTAAACTTGGTATTGCACATAACAAGATCATGTCCGGCTTTCTTTATTGTTCGTGATTTTGCTGGATGAAATCTACTCGGAAGTATGGCTGTCGATCTTTCAAAGTAGGTTGGCATGATTTGTATATCTGTATTCCTTGATACGGTATTAATTAGTTTTGTTTTACTGATACTTGTGCGTTTGTTGTCTATGAAAAAGATAAGCGCTTTTCTGAACTTGTTTTGATTGTACGATCTGCCTTGTACCGAGAGGGATAAATCCTTAAAAAAACTAATTATTCGAAGTCAAGAAACTCTCGGTTATTGTCTTTAGTAATGCGATTATGTGTTTGTTTTTTATAAGATAGCTAGGCATTTGGTGTAGATAGATATTGTATAGACTGTTTAATTATTTTTCACATTTTTCTAAACTTGATGCTATCTAAGTCTTAGCACATTAAAAGTTTACAAGTCTGTTGTTGAAAATTCGTATTTTGACCTTTAGATGTCCGCAGGTTATGTACCCGTCTTTGATAATAATTACGGAGAAGACAAAAATAAATGTGCGAAAAAGAGCTATCCAGAGATTTCTTTTGGAGAATTGGGACCACTTAGTTATTGTTAAAAAATTGGGAAATTTGACCATTGGTGTGATACAAGCCAGTAGTGGTATGATAGCCTCATGGATAAAAGATGACCAAATGTGGCATCGACTCATTGGATTGATTGTTGCTTGCTAAACGTTAAGTGTCAATTATTTCATGCATAATTAGGACCAGAACAAATCATCATGTCATACAATCGGTATGTTCTGCAAGGTGGGAACACCGGGATGAAGAGAAGAAAGTTTCGATTGTCACTGGGATATAAGATTATCTGTTGTATATGGGCAGACATTTGGCCTGTTAGAGGTCGCCTGTGTACCCCTAAGAGAGTTGATGCATGGGTTCTTTCAGAGAGCGTGGCAGTCAACCTACACGAGACATCGGATTTAACATCCCCATTCCGATAGAACGGTCCCCCCCACCCCACCCCCCCCCCCCCCCCCCCCCCCCAATTTTAGCAAAAGCAACTTGAAAATAGCAAGGGTTTTACTGTCGGAACTCCAGGAATTAATTACCACATTTCTATACCCCTGTCAAACCTTGGACTCTCGACTCCTTAGAAGCAAATATAAATGAAAATCAGGATTCCACCCTAGACCTCTTGCAGAAAAAGCTGAATACGACCGTAATACTGTGTTGGCACACCATAATACAGACTGAACAATCTTTGAGATCAGCTCTTTATGTATGACAACATTTCACAACTTTAAACTGAAAAAGACGTTTTCACTGCTTGTTCTCCTTGGCTTAGTGAACATTTTCAGAGGTCCCAAGTGAGGTCATGCATGTATACTAATATATGTAAAAACTTATTAAATAAGGTCAGATATGTAAATTTATTACTGATATATTAGAAGATATAATGTAAACGATTATTTTTAATGGCTAATTCTGTGATCTCGGGAACATTTAGTTTTTAGACAGTATGTAATGGCGGCATGCCTTCCACTGAAGCAGATCTAACGTTATAATAAGTACAATAATTAATGCTACTAAGGGTCATTTAGCGTCATACACACTAACCTAATGCTTTAAGTCGGACGGTGTACAATAATAAAAGTCGGTGAAGTTCATCGCATTAGATCTAATCTGAAATCAAAAGTCACAATAAGATTTTGTATCTTGAATCTAAAAATTGGTTCTCCATTCATAAATTATAACGTAAGAAGACTAATACGGTAAGGAAGGGGCTCACTTGTCTAATTAAAAATGTTACAAAAGTGACACTTTTTGGTGTTTCCTCTTTCAATTAAATACAAATACAAATTAGCTCCCCAATTTAAACGTGAATTAAGAATTATTTTACTAAGTTGGTATAGAATCAACATAGGATTGTAATCAGCAACAATACAAAACAATGACATAAAAAAGACTAATCTTGGTTAATAATCCAAAAATATATCTATATATTGAAACACCACTATATACACAGTGTATACCAGGACTAATACAAATATCATGGCCTTTACTCACGGTATAAGGAGATCAAGTTAATGAATATATATCTCAGTGGTCCCAAAGCAAACTAACTAACATTTTTATACAGATCGATGATGACGCCCTAGTAGTCTCAGTCATAAAGGAGCAGAGCAAAATTAAAGTTGTAATCTAAGTTTACAAATGATTATTGTGATCAGAAATTTAATACAAAAATGAAGATTCTTTTCGGAAGTAAATTGTCCGGAATTGGTCTCATGTTTTACTATCTCCGCAGAACAAAAATAAAAAGTTTGTCCAAACTTAAGTTTGTACTGTTACAAGCTGTTGTACATTTTTCGTAATTTTTTTTACTTATTTGGACAACTTTTCTAAATGTAGGTACTGTTCTTTTGTTTGCAAAACTTATTATTTGACTGTTGTAGACACCATGAAGCTAATTGAAAAAAGGGGGAGGGGTAGACTGAATACCCTGTAGAACTCTACCCATACATCAAGTTTATACAGGGGTTAAAACACATATTTAAAGGAAATAACAATTTCTACTATTATGGTCAGTAAGCTTCCCAAGAACAAATGCAAAACATTCAGCCATTACATATTTTCTGTAGACGGTGTAAAACATAAAGTTATTCTGTTATGTTAATTGTTAATACAGCGTATGTTAAAACTGGGATACAATATATTGACGTTAGTATAATAGTCCTAGGTTAAACATATTATTTGACATTATTGTAAATCTGTATGTCTGTTATATCACCCTCAGTCATCAGAAATCTCAGTGATCCATATATACATCATTGGTTAAGTTATTTCTAAATGAATCACCTTGTGTACAATGTATATATACATGTATACTGTACATGTAGGTAATCCCCATAGTCAGATGCGGATCCAGGTTTTAGAAAAGGAGGGGAGCCGCTGAACCCCAAACTAGACAAAATTTGTAGTGGAACCGGATTAACCATGAATAAATGAAGGTCCATAAGGGGTGCCCTGGACCCCAATCAGCGCGTCTCTGCAAATAGTTAAAGCATAAAGCTTTAGGTTGCACAAGTTATAAGTTATTAATTGTATATTTATTAGTTGTGCATTTGCATCAGAGCTGTTACTACATACATGACATACATAAAAACTGAACTGTGCATTAATTATAAATAGAACCTTGATGGAATTGAACCTGTGATGAACCTGCAAGTCGCCTGACAAAAAATAATTACGATTTCATTAAAAGATGTGAACTTTGGAAATGTAATAATAGGAGCAGGGCATGATATCCTATTGACATATATATTTGTAACATTGGTATGGTAGAAGTGTTGGTATAAATTTTTAGAGATCTACTCACAGTATACATGTATACACATCTGGTTAACCTACATTGTACTTGTACAAATTATTTGTTGTTTTTTTTCTTCAGTTCCTTCAGTAAACCTGGTAATTCATGGTGCCCAGAGACAGATGAAAAAGGAAATATATTTTATGTGGAGATAGCTGAAAAATGTAAACATCTGAAAATAAACAACAGTCATGAAAGTAGCATAGACGATGTTGGATATGGTACTGACAATGAAGTGAATAACATCCACAATATTGCCAATCAACAGAATACTTCCCCTAATGGAAATCTTCCTTCAAAAGGATGTCATATTGCTAATTGTAGATGTAACCAAAATGATAATAATTTGGAGTTTTACAGAATGGATAATTTAGTGCAGTTTAAAATTCCAATAAAACATGTAAATATTACAAAAATACTGGGTGATACTCCTAAACCACATAGTTATGTTGGTAGAATTTTATGCAAAGATCTTTTTGGAATAATACCAGGACATTTCAAATCTTCAAAATGCAGTAACCAGAGACTATGCATCAGAGGATTAGATCCAACAAGGGACATTCTGAAGAAAAAACATATCCAGATAGGTGAGATTTACATGCATGCAGTTAATAGTAACAAATATTATTTTTGAGGTTTTACCAAATGTTGCACCGATAAGCCATTTTTTCATCAAATATTATCCTATTAAAATTGTTTAAGTGAATTAAACCTCTTTCCAAATTAACTCTCCCCATTTAGATGTGACAATGGCACATATAGCTTACTTCATGTGGCTTTAGGCTTTCCTGTTTTTTAAAGTTGAAAAAGTGCACACCAATTCTTTGTCCATGCCTCAATGGACACCTAGACATTTTAACATTGAAAATTACCAGTCTGAATTATACAAATATAGGTATTGAAAAATTTTCAGGTGACTGTTTAAGACTTGTAAATGGACAAGAGATTACATGGAATAATATTGACGAAGTATTCACCAGGTTGTGTTCTTCTGCAGAGGTAGGTACACTGTATGAGGACCTTATAATATTGATGAAGTATTCACCCGGTTGTGTTCTTCTGCAGAGGTAGGTACACTGTATGAGGAGGACCCTATAATATTGATGAAGTATTCACCAGGTTGTGTTCATCCTTAGAGGTAGGTACGCTGTATGAGGACCCTATGTTATGGTTCCTAATTTGATAAAGTAATATATAATCTTTTTAGATTTATAAACTATTTGAATACTTAAATGAAAGGAAAACTTCTGGTATAAGTAAACGAGCAAGCATCCCTACAACATGGGACAACCAGATATTTGTGTTGAAAATACATGTATAAAGAAAATATATTGTATCAACAGATAATTATAATTGCACACTCTAAAAACCAGAATTTGCTATGTTCATCCAAATCTATTTAAAAGACCCATAAAGATAAGGACATTGCATTTTAGCATCAGATTGAAAGTCTATAGTTCAGACCAAATAAACAAAAAGTATGTGCCATGGGTTTTTGGAAGGACCCTAATTCTTAGTGTGGTCCCCTTAGTTTTTTATGAGGAATTTCATTAACATGTAAATCTTAGAACTACAAAGTTATTTTCACCAAAATGCATGACCATGGTGACATAATTAATCAAAAGCATGTTAAGATATTGCCACTTTGTTCAATGACAAAAATTTACCAACCTATCAACATGTGACCAACCTTTTATCTTAGGAAGGAAACCCAAACACACATATTTTGTTTTTGGCCCCAGATTATATTTTGAATACAATACCCCTGCTAATTGTTGTGTGTCTGATGTAACAAAGTGAAGTTATTCGCTGCAAGCCATCTAAGACTCGAACTGTTAAAACATAATATATGTAATATGAAAGGTAGAGATTACTATATGTTGTGTATTTGTTTTTATTTAGAGCTCTGTGCTTTAGTCCTCGTGTAAATATTTTTGCTCCTTTTAACTTTTTTAAAAGCTTTTTATGTTCAGTTGAACAACTGGGGTGTTGTAAATATAGAATAACATTACATTGTCTCATGAAAAAAGGGAAAGTTGAAGTTAATGTACAAGTTTATTTAGACTGGTCTGATACTTTTGTGTTGATTCTTTTCCATTGATTGAAGTACAAAAGTACTGTAAAAATTAGATAATGCTACTGTTCAAAAACCTCTTACATGTAATTATTTATTGAGTAAAATGTAAAGGAAATGAATTAGTTCCTTGCAAGAAAAACAAGACTGTAGGATAGAGGTTTAGGCTATCTGTGGCATTTGAACAGGTCATCTTTCTAGTAACATGTGTAGTTAGCTCAAAACTGTCATAAAGTTAAGAAAATTGCAAAGCAGCAATCAGGCCTTTCAATTGAAAGTCTCAAAACTGTCATAAAGTTAAGAAAATTGCAAAGCAGCAATCAGGCCTTTGAATTGAAAGTCTCTATTTGATTGACTGAATTTCTTAATTTGATAGTATATAATTACTATATCTGTATTTTATCAAAACTACATGTTTTTCACTTCTTTGCCCACTTTATTCATGTAGTTGTTTTGGTTAACATTGAACAAATATTCTATAAACTTGATAAAGATAAATGGCCACACACTGACCGAAACTATCAAAACATCATGAAATTTAAAGTTTAATTAGATTTCTTCAGTTTATTTTCACAAGTTTTTTTCAATTTGAATTATTAACCACTCGTACCTCATAAAAACAAACACCAAGGTATTTTTCATTTCTTTTTCTCATTAAGTCTTAAGATGAAAAAATATTTTGATAAATAATTTAGAGTCTTATTTTAAATCGGCTTATTTAACTAAACCTGAGGCTACATATTTTACCCCTTGGTGTATTTAACTATAAGCCTAACAGAAGATTTTACTTTATTCTCATTGTTACTTTTGTTGATTTTTTAACACAGTTTCAAATATTTTGACACTACTTCAATACGGGAAAATGACAGGAGTGCGTTGTCTAATTTAAAAAAAATATATATAGGTAAATGAATGCTGTATTTTAAAACTGAAGTGGTTACATAAATGGAGAACATAATTAATATAGGGGAAACTATTTTATGCATATATATTCCGTATGATAGATGTGGGGGATGATGTTTTTCAAAGATGGCAATTAACAACATATATAGATAAAAAGAGAAATAAAGAACTGAAGCTCCCATCATTTTCATTGTTGATGAATATTAACTCACACAATATGAAGCTCATAATAGATGATATAAAGAATTGAGGATTATTTATTCTATAATTTCAAGTTTTGAACTTTAAGGGTCATGCTATATGTTTTGTTAATGATATTTAGCCCAATTAGTGTCCCAGATAAATATCTATGTAGTCTTTAAATCAAACCACCTGCATAATTCTACATATAACTTTGTGAATTGCCTAGGCCTGCTGCTCTAAAAAAAATTAAACATTTTTGCTTTTAAAGATCCATGAAAAAATATTCTAGAACAGTTCATCTCAATGACCAATCAACATCAACATTTTTACTCTTTATAACCCACAAAATTAAATAAAAAACAACAATAGCAGGTTAAAAACAAATTCTTTGGTTGTCCACTTAGTGTTGGCACTACATGCATATGATAGTAGCACAAAAATAATTCAACTGTGATAAACACTGCAATTAAAAGGTAAAACAAACCATATAAAACACTAGAGAATAGAAGATAAAAACAGAAAATGGCCTAATTTGTTAACCTTGTCTTAGAATGAATATGTGAAAAAGATAAAAATGTTGGTCCTTAATGAGGACAAGTTACCTTTCTGTAATTAAATACTCATTAAAATATATACACATGTGTGTTTAAAAAAAAAATTATGCTGAAAATTATGTGAAAATAATATTTAAAAAAACAGTCAATATGGAAATCATGAATTCATGTATGTATGACAAATTATATTGATTATAAAATTTCCTGATTTTACAAGTACATGAAGTATAGTAAATACATAAGAATGATGTAAGAATTAGACTCACCAGTCACTATTATGACACCTAGTGTGTGCCATCAATCCTTTATGCCTTAAACAATGAAGAAATACATTTTATTTACATATATTATATACTAACAGCATATTATGTATGTCTGTTTTGTATTACTTTTATTCTGTGACAGTGTTTTGAAAAATAGATTCAGTGTTTAAAAATCATTTGACACTATATTTGTCTCAACATCATTATAAAAGTGAAAAGGTATTGAAACTCTTTTGAGCTTTATTGAATTAAAAAAAGAATAACTGTCTTTACATTGTCTCAAAATATAAAATTTATTTGTACACAGCTTAAAAACAGATAGAATGTGAGGCTTTGCCTAGCATTTATACCCTACTACAAGCTGAATACAAATAATTTATATATTTTGAGACAATTGAAGTTGTTCTCTGTATACTGTTACTCTTAAGAACTGTTCCAAATGAAATATTTTGGGTAAAAATCAACAAATATGAAAACGAATTTTGAGGCGAAAGAGGTAAAATTCCTCATTCTTTGATATGACATCAAAAGACTAAAGAAACACAATATCAATGTCACAGATTGTAAATTGATTGTCATTGATTGTAAATTACAAATGTTAATACAGTTAATGTGCTTTGAATGTGCATATCGCACAGTTGCAGTATAAATCTTATTAAAATAGTTTTAAAACAAAACTATTATCTATGTTTGGTTTGCTTGAAAACCTACAATAAGGTTTTCATCAAAAACTTTATTTTGCTCTTAGATCATCTAAAACTTCCTAGTTTCCACAGGTCATCTTCATATTCTATGTAAGAAATAAAGTGTAATTGTAAGACTGACAATATTCAAACCATTTAAAGTTGTGCTATTTGCCTATATTCTGCATGGAAAAGGTATTTGATATACTGCAACATAAATTTATTGAACTTTTTTAGGCATCTTTTGTTGTACAACAAGTTTCTAAGAAGTCTTCAAAACCAAATCATCATGAAGTTTTGAAAAAGACCATTACAAAGGATTCTGGGATAGTACAGTTGCTGCCTAAACAAGAGGACATAACTCTTGGAAAACAATGGACAGATAACTTACATGCTGTCATGTATGTGGATCTAGAAAAACTGAACTCAGAAAATAACAATAAAGATGTAAGTTTAGCCATTATATAGATTGTGACTTGAAAATTATATAAATTGTTATAACATTAATGCTTGTAGACTTGTTTGATGACAAAACAATTTAACCATATGTTGGCTTATGATTAATTTCACCCATTATTACAGTTATCAAATAAGGTCAATTATCAGCTGTGTTTCTTGGCCTTAAAAATTGCTTTGAATTTCCCTCATATTTTTTTAAATCAATGTAGATGTTTTAAAAAAAAATCATATACAGTATCCTATATTCTTCTAGTCTAACTGCTTTCCTATAAGCTGTTTACCATTAAAAATTAATTAATTTTGCAATCATCTGACAAGTTATAATGAACAGATTAAAGCTGGTTATTCAAAGGTAATTCAGGTTCAGCATCAGTTTTAATTATATTATCTACACATTTGGATACAACAAATTTGAAAGTTTGTCTCCAAGTTGACGAAGCTAATAAGGGTACATTTATACTCCCTTAATACCCTCATATCCCAATATCTTCACATTTGGCTGCACAAGGAAATTTGAGAAAGTTTGTCTCCAAGTTGAATGAGCCGATTAGAGTACATTTATACTCTCCTATCCTCATATCCCTGTTGTTATTCACATCCACAGCCAAAAAACTGATAGACATACAGTGAAATAATTAAAATGCAGATGAGTTTGAAGAGACTGACTTACATGGTCATGTGACCAATATTTAACAGTACAGTGGCATCAATAAAGTTGATAGGCTTTTAAACATGTATAAAACTTTTGTCATTTCAGTTCAATTCTATAAAACCCATATTGTAAGTGACAAATAATCATATAACAAGTTGTAAACATGTATATACAAGTGCATATATAATAGCTTTTCTTGACAATTAGGTTATGCAAAGTAAATCACTGTAAAAGAGTGCTACTTATTGTTTTTTAAGATGTCAACACTAATCTAAAAAAAAAAATTCAGTTGTTCCCTTACATTTGGCAGATTACAGATTTTTTTCAAAACATAATTGATGAAAACAGGGCAATTTATGTTTTTTGGGAATGTCAATACTGTAATCTGAAACCGAGACATTTTTCCACTTATTCTCTGACAATTTTCAGCTTACACATTCACTATGAAATACCACTAGAAAAAGATCCTAATAATAAAAACGCATAGGTCACGCAGTAGTTTGAAAAGAAAATAAAAGCTAACAGGTTAATTACTGAAGTATGTTAATTGAAATTATCTATAATATCATGTTTTATTTGTAGGAAGATCTGTTGTTCCAATTTCCAGAAAAATGTAGTGGTTTAACAGGAATGCGAGGGGCATTTGTTACCATCTACAGTTCATTAGCTGAGATTTCACCTTCATCCACAAACAAGTGTGTATTATATTTTGTGTAAAAAAGTAATAAAGGATTCCATTTAAAACAACCAGTGTTTTAATTGCAAAAATAAATTGTTGTAAATAATAGGCAAATTAGTATGTAGGGAATTTATAAAAAAAAGGGCAAAAATGTCATTATCAAGATTACCTTTTTCATGGGCACAAATACAAGACTAGAGAAGTCGTGTACTTCATTGAACATTTGAATTTGTGGTTCACCTGTACCCATGAAAATTGGTATTTCACGAATGATAATGAATCCACAGTAGAAGTAAAGTCAGAACTAAGTGGAGATTGAAATGTCTTAGATCAATGTCAATACTGTAATTCAGATATTATTGCGTTCACTTATTATTGCGAATTTGGTAGAATGGACTTAAATGCGAGATTAATTATTGTGATTTCAGGAAAAAAAGCATACAGTTATATGTATCAGATATAAGAATGTGAGTCCTAATTATTGCGATACTAATTCAGTCACATTATTTGCATTAATAAAAACCTCGCAATAATTTCTGAGTTTACAGTATTACTCACTAGAATAGTCATGAATTTGTGGTTTTAATATAATTTCAGATCAACATTTATGTACAACAACAAACTGATGAACGCCTCCTACTATAAAGAAGAAAACAATCTTCTTATAGTCATATTTCAACAAGATAGGTATGACTTTGTCTTATCATAGTAATTTTACCTCACGTTTTTGTAAATTGAAATAATAAATGCATGCACACAAAAATTTCTGAATTTACAGTATTTTACACTATTATGAAATTAAGACAAAGAAAAACAAAGTTAATGTACCAATGTCTACATGCTAGACCACAAGCAAAAATAAGCAAAAAATAGTATGCTTAAGGTAGATTCATGGTATACCGCCATCTTGGATTGTACAATCGCAGTACAAAATCGGTCTAGTTATTTGCCTAAATCTGCAAATTTGGAGACAGATTTGCAATTTAATGGTTAGACTATTTATTTATATAAAGAAGATTTGGTGATTAATTGTATTATTCAAAATATTTAAACAAATATCATTTTTTTTTGTGTTTAGAATCATTTTTTCAAATGAGCCATTTAAGGGGAGATAACTCTTTTAGTAAAAAATTTATACTGGACTAATAGGGAAATTTTTAATTTTTACTTGTAGCAAGAAAACAAGTTCGGTGACACCATTTTTTCTTTTTATTTTCTTAAAACATATTATAAAACCTATCTTCTCACAATTTATTTCAAAATTGTATCTCATAGAAATTTTTTTATGCACACAAATGTGTTTTTTCATGAACAATCTAACCAAATTTAGGCAATTTTCAACGACTAATAGCTTGAAAAATAGCACGGTGACCCATACTTTTTATTATATTTTTGAAAAGAGCATAGTAAAATCTTCATTTTGGCAAATTATAAAAAAATTCTGTCTCAAAAAATATATACTTATGATCTACCTTAAAACCTTAAATGAATTGATTCAGTGTAAAGATGACTTCATAGAGTTTACCGAAAAACAATTCTGTAATAATAACTTCTGATACTGCTGAAGATATGACAAAATATTAAATATACTTATTGTACATCTGATTTTGACCTTCCTGGTATTCTATTACAGTTCTTTTATTGTAGAATCTGAAAGTAAAATAATGGATATACATGTATATGTATGACACAAACCACACAACCTAAACCTTAAGAATATTTTACAGGTATATGTCATTTATTTTGCAGGATTCATCCCCTATTACTGCCCAAAGTTGTACAGAATCTAATCCGTGTTATAAGAGTGCAATATAATTCCTTACATGAAGCATTTTCTCATCGAGACAATCATCCAAGTTTATCAGCATTACTGACCTCAGTTCTTCATCAGATGGACACGTCTACATCATCTGTTGATGTTGACCAGTGTAGTAGTTGTAGTAATACAGTGCAATATCTTCATCTTGATTCTATTTTTAATGCAAGTATATAATTAGTTGTATAATGTTAGATGGGTTATTCCAAATTACATGGCATAACTTATTATGTGTTCTAATATGACATCCTTATTACGCTTTGTAAACAAAGCCGTGTTCTAATTAGCACAAAATATGTTTGACACATGCGCTCAAACTTACTGTTTACATTCTCGTTATTTTCATGTTTTTCCTAATAAAATATATACATTTTAGCTGCTTACATAAACTTTTATTATATATTGTTTATCAAACAACGTAAATTTTCCCTGCTATTAGTTTTTAATCTTATTAAATATGAAAATGTAATGTACATACTGCATGGGGAGTAAATGGGAACAGCCAAATATTTCTAAGGTATTTTCGTACGCTTCAAACTATAAAAACACTGTATTTGTCCTATTAGAATCGAAATAATTCATTCATGTCATGCTCTGTGCTCATTTTAACATGGGTAGGCATTAAAATGAGCATAGAGCATGACATGAAGAAATTATTTCTTAAATAATGTATTAACATGAGGAATGACATGATGTTTAGGAAAAGAAAGAGGGAAGAAATTGTCTAATAAAAGCATTCAGAAAAATGTTTTGTCAGTTTTGAGTATAAAAAAACAACTACTTTTTTGCTTGGCATGAAATTTTTGTCAGGGGAGGGGTTTGAGTGATAAATTTATATCAATCAATGGAGATTAAAAACTTTTGAGGAGATGGCTCTTTTCTGGCTCTAACTCTTGGAGAAATAACAGGTATGTCATCCTTTTATTTCTATGAAGCTTTCATTTATATGCTTACTTAAGAAATGTAATGTGTACTAGCTTTAAATTTTCCAATGAAATACTGATTAAATGAGTATAGATCTGTGGTAAATAATTGTATCTATTTTATTTCAGGATAGTATTGATCGATTAGTGACTGGATGGGAGGCACCAGATTGTAAAGAAATGGTAGGTCTATGTGAAAAATGCAGCTAAGTGGAATATTTATGTTGCATGAAGTTTTATTGAATACTTGGACTCTTATAAGGCACATTTGATGGTCCATTTCAGTTTTACCTGTCCAGTTATGGTGAAAAGAAATTTGCTGGTCAAAAGTTATTTTGCTTTTATATAATATTAATTTTCTTCAACTCTTTTCTGGAAAAGAACAAAGATTAAGATAATGTCTATATATTTGTTACATTAATGACCTGTATATGTGTAATCATTATTCCTAATTACAATCCTATTCTCACTATTTTCAGTCTGAAAGTTACTATGGTTATAGAAGAACATATACAGTGTTAGGATCTTGTTTGTTTTATAAGGTGAGTACTGATTAAGTTATCAACAGTACTTGGGCAAAAATTAAAAATAATCATATTCCTACCCTATTTTAGTGCCTCAAAATGCCTACCCTACTTTTTATAGACACTTTTAGTAGTGAATTATTACAAAATTGTAGGTGTTCCCCAGACACTTCAGGTATAAAACAGCCAAAAAAAAATCCTACCTACCTATCATATTTTTCTAAAGGAGGAAACCCTATATGGGAATATTTATTGTTTGACCAAAACATTGTAATAAACAAATCAATCAGAAAAAGCCAATCAAATCGTCCATTTAATTCCCATCAGTTCAGCTTTTTGTGCTGTTTGGTTCTTATACTTCAATAATTATCTGAATTTTAGCTGCCTCATTACTCATGAACTAAATTATTGTTTGTGTCACAGTTCAGATAAATAGAGTTTTGTTTAAGTTTTAAATCATTTTGATGCCAAACATTTATGTGATTCATACATTTAAATTTAACTACAGAAAAGTAGCTTATCTGGGCTCAAAATGAATAATATAGCCTCACATTATATATAGGAAATACTTATTAATATCTAACATTTTAATTATTTTAGGACTCCTTAGTATGTAACCACTTGCCACATGATGACTTGCTGGATATCTACCTCTATCTGAAGTACCAACACATTATGTCTGTCTGCTGTAGAGAAACTGTGCAGACGACAGTCATTTGGAGGGAAATATTTCCCACAAGGCAGTTCTATAATTTGCCTGAAGAAGAACCGTTTGGTTACACAGAACCAGTTTCAGCCAGATGGGTCTGGTTATTTGTAGCCTATGTAAGAGTTTTATTTTAAAAGTATAAATTTGAATTCAATACCTTATTTGGAATAATATAGAATAGCTTGAGTGAAATTAAAACTATTTCTCATAATTTTGAAAATGTCATAATAAATTGAATAAATGTTCTAATTGTATTTCATGGTTTTTGCTTGGGTTTTTTTTTGGCACATTCAAAATGTTTTTTGGTATGAAAATGTGGACCCTTTTTTTTTAATACATAAAATAAATGTGGAATTTACTTTACTTATGTTGATTTTTTTTGCAGAAGCACACAATCCTATGTTCAATGTTGGAAACAAATGGTTATCATACAAGGTTAGTAATTATTCTGAGTAAAATATTTTATGTATGATATTTTTATTTTACAGATTTGTTGTGCATTATCTTCATCTTACAGTTTTTGAAGCTCTTAAAAACTGAATATAGATATAAATTAATATAGATGTTTGGTATGTCAGTGAGAGCAACTGGAAAACAAAGAAAAAACAAAAAAAGACATCCAAAGGCATACAGTCAACAATAAATTTAACAGAAACAATCAAAGCTATGCCATTAAAACCAAAATGGAAAAAAAAATGAAATACATTAAGATATGACATACAACAATAACTCATAAGGCTCATCAGGACAGGCACATGGAAATTTGCATGGATAAACTAGCTTTTTGAGATCTCTACCCTAAAAGTGTTTTCTCCCAGCTTGTTTAATTAGATTCTGTAGTTTTCCCCTAGATTTTATTGACCAGTTAACCGTTTACTGAATAAATTTTGCATCATTGATGGCTACAAAATAATCTTAAAATCAGTTTTGATTTTAATATGAGAAATATAATTGATTACTGTGGTGATACAGATTTTGTTATTCAACACTTTTCTTTAAATGTCCATTTCAGACCAGATGTAATATTAGATCCTGACCCTTTCTTGATTGACCAGGCCAAGGCTACGCTGATGCAGATTTTCAACCTCAATATGTATAAACAAATGGATCACTGGTTAGTATCTTTTTCTTATAAAGGTTGGTCATAACTGTAATTCTTTCACTTTAAAAAAAAATTGATTTACCAAAAAAAAGCTTACAAGATTATTTCATATGGCTGAGACTAGAATGGTTTTGAAACATGGTTTTGTCTTGTTGATAGATTTTAAGACTGCAAGTGTTTTATTGGACTTGCTGTTGATTTTGCTTTCTGCTTTGTTATAAGTTGCCTTGGTATTTAGATTTATAGGTTATATAGGAGATAAGATTTTTGTATAAGTTTCACTTCAGATATATAAATATTAACAAATTTTCTAGTAAATGTTCAATTATATTTTGATTTTTCTTAGAGCAGATTTGAAAAATATCAGGTGTTCAAAGACTAGAGGTAAAATTCTATTGAATCTAACCTATGGTTAACAAATGTTTTCTATTTTTTAGTTCCAAACAGTACACATCATCTTTAATAACACATCTATCAGAGACTTCACAGAAACCAACCAGTCTGCAGAATGGTAAATATGCTTTTCTTGAATTTCTATTCTTAGTTACAGAATTTTTAGTAAGGATATGGTGTGTATTGCGTTTGAAATGCAGTAGAAAATTGACTATAATTGTTTATGTCTATGTCATTTGGTGTCTGATGATTAGTTGTCTTATTTGCAATCATACTGCGTCTTCTTATTTTCATATCAATGCTCTTGTGAAAACAATATTATTTATAACTAATAATATTAGCATAGTAGGCTTACAAACTGTACATCTTTTGAAATTTTCAAAAACGATTGTGAAGAAAGGATGAATAGTGTATTAAGGTGTATAAATTTATAACACAAAATGCCTACTCCTACTTGACACCTGCAAAACAAAGGAACAGACTTTGCATTGATGTCCTTCATCTGTAAGTCTCAGAGATCTTTAACAGAGTAATAGTTCAAACTTTGAGCATAATTTCTTTTCATAAATGTCAATCAAGCTACATAATAAATAAGAATTATTTTTCAACCATATATGCAAATATATTCTGAGGATTTTTAGGCAACATATCATACAAGTGAATTTTATTTTACACAGAAGTTGTGAAGAATAATATATTTAACAGACACAGAAAATCTGCCCGATTTCATAGAGATTCCTCAGTTAGATCTAGTGCTTCATCTGACAGTGGATCGAGTGTAGACAGTGGGAACAAGGTAATGGATTGTATGATCATGTTTGTGGGGATAAGGTTAGGTATTGTTTGATCACACAACTTTTTAAAACATTCTTACAATTTAATGGAGGGGAAAACTGGCAACCATCAATGATTTGTGGACAAAAGTCATCAATCTGATCATTCAAGTGTATGTTGCCAAAAGGTAACATAACCTTGAAGAAGTTAACATAACCTTGAAGACTTCTATTATACCACCTAGAGATAATGTTATTAAAAAATTATAAAAATCATCAATCGTGTTTTTTGTCACTGACCCAATAAGACCCTTGTGGTACTAAATGTTATTAAACAACATTGTTGTAGTAAGTTTTGTTTTAGCCTGCAACATGTGTCAGAATGTGAGACAAAGGAATGCTTATCAAGCAGTTGTGACAGACATGCACTTCTTGGGTGTGCTCTGTAAAGGACTGAAAACCGCTCTGTTTGTGGTACATACAATCAATTAATGTTTTAATTACAATAGTGTCCATAGTTGCTTTTGATGTACACTTTTTCACTTTACTGTGTGACAAGTTTTTTATGCAATCAGAAAGTCCATATTTTTATTTAGTGTTCACAGGTGTTTCCTTTCAACTACAATCAATAAAAGATATTGTGTTTTGTTTTCAGAAGACATCTTTATATCATCACAGCACAGAGGGTAGCTATCTGTATGACCTGAATCATGCATTAGAATTACCTAGAACTGATATCAAGTAAGGTTACTTACTTTAGTTTTCTGACAAACATTTCTCTAAATGTGCTGTTTTGTAATATAAAAAATGCCAGTATACCACTAACAAACATTTTGGTAACTAAAATATGAATTGTTAAACCTTATCCTGATACTATGAATTCATGTATTTTCATGGATACCAATTCTCTTGGATAGTCGATCTCGTGGTTTTGCCAGAGTCTGCTTACAACCTATAGAAAATTTGTACTTTGTTGAATATTTGAATATATGGTTTACCCATATCCATAAAATCCTTTAAAATTTGTATACATCGAAATATAATATATCCAAGTAATATTAAAAGTTAGTACACCAGAAAATGAATGTTGTATTTAACAGCCAAAGATCAATATTCTTATTGAATCCACTTAAAATTTGACCTGACCCCCATATTAAAATTCATTGGACCAGTAATTCATTTCACTGATATCCTTAGTTTAACTGTATGTACCTAAATATAGGGTTGGCTACAAAGAAAATATGTACAGTGTAGTTATTTTTATCACAATATAATCCCCAGGAAGGAAATGGAGTAAATGTATGTGAATTGCTAACCAAGCAACATTGATTTGCATTTTACTGAAGTCATTTACTGAATTGTATCAGCATATCGAAAGATTTTTAAAAATGTGATTGCATTAGTTGTAAAAAGATTTTTCCTTTAAATTTTGGTTATGTATTGATAAATGTATCTGACACCAACAAATTCAGAAGCAAAGTTAATAATATTTTTTTTTCTTTTAGGTTGTCAGTAGGCATTGAGAATTGCATGTTGCATTATTTACATGTGGACAAACATGAAGGTGTTTATATTAAATCAGACTCCGGTGAAATGGATTCCAAAATTCTTCATAACTTCTCCCTTGCCTGTTCCAGGATTAAATATATCTTTGATAGATATAGGTTCAAGAAAGTAAGTAGATATATAAGTATTTCACAGAGATATTCTAAATTCTAATGGCAGAGGGGAAGAGTAAATTTATTGTACAAGTCTAAAATTTTATATGCATAGGCAAGTTAGTTGCTAAATATTTTTATATTATAGAAGACAATCAACATCTATAGGCATAAAATTAGATAATACTTTTACTAGGTGATATGACCCTGTGCCTAAGCATTGTAGGTGAAAGTCTCTTATATTTTTAGAAGGTGGGAAGATAAAGCTATTATTTTATTTGCTAAGTTATTGTTGCTATATATTTTGACAATTGAGGGTTATACAGGATAAACTTTAAAAAATAATTTAAAAATGGAAGAAAAAAAATAGTTAAGTTTTGATTGCTACATATAACCTGTAAATTAAAAGCATTATACTTGTATTAATGTGATCAGTACATATTTGACAAATTTTGGGTTATTTTCTTCTAGAAAACATCAGATCAAGTAACAGTAAACAACCATATGTTACCAGTAAGACAAGATCCTACATTCAGAAATGTCAGAGAGGAAGGTGTATTATTTAATATTGCTAGTCAGGAGCCTCAGGAAAAGTCCCCCATCTCATACTGGGTTGTTGGGTAAGTTAAGAAGTAAACTATTTTATTTGAAGCCTATTTGGTAATATCTTTGTTCATTTTGGTGTTGTTGTGTTTATTCTGTTCAAATCATTTGAATTGTACAGAATGAAGGGCTGTTAAGCTAAATGACCTAAGTAGAAAGTTAACGTATTTTTTGTTCTCTTGATACTACTATTTCTTCTGATGTGTTAAAGAAGCTTACTTCTAAAATACTAGGGATGCTACTGGGTACAAACATTTATGTTTATAGAAACTGGTGATTTAAAATAGTGAGACGTATATTTCTCTTGATCTTAGGAACCCTACCTGACTAGGATAATCATTTCTTGTCAGACTCTCTAAGATATGAGAAAATGTTTAGCTTATCAAACTTCAGATGAGACCCATATAAAGATTAAGAAAATGGAGAACCAGTTTTGGAAAAGTGTAATTCCATCTATATTGATTGTGGAATGTTTTGTATGTTAGCTTGCTCAATAAGGTTTTTTTTCATTATGATGAAACAATGAAATGATATAAACTTGAAAAGCTAAATGGAAAGGAAGGGTTTTGTTGCTCATAAGTCCATGTCAGTGCAACAAGGCATGACTAAGTCATTATAAATGAAGTGAATAAATATACGATTACATACATGTCAATAAGAGAAGACAATTGATCGTAAACAGTGTTAACATTTTTTTCAGGAGACAAAGAAGTTTAACAGAATCCTATGTTTGTTTCAAAGATGGCACACCACAGAGCACAGTAGAACTTGCATTTAAAATAGCCTTTGGTATAAAACCTGGATAAAAGGAAAAAGTTTCATCTTGAATTGGACTCAGAAGACATATTGAAATACTCAGTTTTTCATAAATCAGAAGAAAGAAAATTATATTCATGAGTTTTTGTGGACTGTTAGATTGTTTCTTTTGATATATAATATCTGCAACAAAACCAATATATTTATTTCTCAAAAGGAATAGAATTATTAGTTACTAGGATATATATAACACAGAACATACGTAATGTGGTCAAATATACTTTTTACTTTTATATGAAATCCAACCTTTCTAATTGATGATATTTCTATCTGATATTTGAGTAAAATTTGCATTTTGTAAAAAAAAAGTAGACTTTTTAATACATTTTGAAACACCTTAGTGAATTTATGGATCTGTGCTTTCAAGGGAGTCTGAATATGAAATACTAAACAAACCCATGATGGGTGTTATATACAAGATTTTAGTTAGGTTGTCTGAAAAGTAAGTGGAATATTATAATGTAATTTAAATGTCATAGCTTTTACATCTACATGTATGTGCAATAATCATATTACATTTTCAATTCAAAGTGTCTCAAAAATCTTTTAAGCATAAAAATTTGTTTTTTTTAGTAAAGTTCAGTTTTGGCAGTTGTTGGTCGGTAAATAGATAAACCACAATTAACACATTAGAAATATGGTTGTATTGCACAGTGAGACTTACATAATCACACATGAAAGAACTTTACCAATTACCATGTTTTATATTGTTTAAAGTGTTTTCTTCTTTAGAGACACCATAAGATTTTCTGTTTACACAATTATTAACATCAAAGTGAACTGTTTCTTCTGAAGTTCTAGTTGAAATAAAAATGTTCCAGTATTTTCATTATTTTAACAATTTTTAGAACAATTTTTGTATTCTCTCTGCCTTTACTGATAATCACTGTAAGTGCAATATTTTATGTATTCATTAGTCACTAAAATTATATGTTACCAGCATGGTCAGTGCTCAGAATGTATCAAACTTTACAATTATCAATCGTCTCTGAAATATTTGCACAGCATTATTGTTAAATTGTAATCAAAAGTGTAAATTGCTTTATTAGAATATGATTGTTTATGATTTTGTTTCATATATGTTACTGTATACTTCACATGGTTTAGGGGTTTATATAATATGATATTTTTTACATCACCATTTTTGTTTCATTCTGTATACAAATTACATTATGGGGTGTTACTTGTTGATTATATACACTTGTTAACGAATTAATAAAAAAAAAATATGATATTAAATTCAAAAAGTTAGTTATGATTTATAGTTTACTTCCCTCAACAAAAGATATATTAAGATATTTTGTTTTTTTCTTTTGAACCACTGCTGATATTTTGGCTCCCCATCTGTTTTCCATCTTTGATTGTCCAAAAATTATGTTTAAAGAGTTCTTGATTTACAAAATGCCAATGTGTTCAATAGATGTTTCTGGAATAACTTTCATGAGGTCCAACATGATTTATCCATGTCAACTATAATAATTGGTCTATATATAAAAAAAGGTGAATGTGTCCTTCTCATGGAAGTCACCTGAACTTTACTTCTTTTTTATAATTAAAATGGCATACAGAACCATTTCTAAAATGACAGTGCATTTATACACACTGCATAGCAAAAACATTTCCTTGAAGACACTTGTCTTTTGCACTAAAATTTGAATCATACGTTTATAATCACATGGTTGGTTCAGTGCAAATACTATCTTGTTTCTTACATTGTAGTTTGATGAACAAGGATATGCACTGGGACTTTTATACTAATATAGTTAAATAGTCCAGGCCCATATATGCATGAATCGTAGACAAAGCCAAAATAAATTTATGAAAAGAAGGGCTAGTTTAAGCGAAATCCAATTGTGAAACAATAAAACAATAAAGTAAAAGCTAGAGAAACATTTGATCCAAATTATAAAAAAGTAAACAAGACATCCAAACTTAAAATAAACCATGAAAACAATTACAGACTTTGAGAGAGGAAATTGCTGGAACCATCACTTGATTTAACTATGTTTCAGTTGCAATTTAAAAAAGAAGAGTCTGCAAAAATGTATGATATGCAAGAAATTTAAGCACAACATTGAAACATGAAAAGACAAATCAAATGCCATTTCCCACACAGATAAAATAGCTATTTATAACAAGCCTGGCATAGATCTAAATCTATGACAAACTCCAAAACAATATTTTCAAAGAAAATAGCTACACACAACCAACGTCTAACAAAGATCGAAAAATAAGAAAAAACAAAACCAGAAAACTCTAGTAAACCTCCCCCTTCCCCATTTTCTTATCCTCATACAAAAAAGTTGATATTTTCTGCTCTTGACCTAATATTGTATATTTATTTTAGACTGTAGTCCGATTTAAAGTAACTTTCAATAAGTATTCAAACCGGGTTCAATATAAAATTGAGTCGGAAAAGATTTCTCTTCGTCTGTTGATATTGAATTAAATCATATCAATTATACCAGGTTTACCCGGGTACGCACTGAAACCCGGACCGGACCGGACTCCGGACCCGGACTTTGGTATGAAATCCGGTCTAAAATACTACAAGGCCTACTTCGATTCGTCTAACTCGGGTAACCCGAGTTACTCGAGTTGCAATCGAAGTACTCGAGTTTTATCATTTTACAACCCTCGAGTTAACTCGATATCAACCCTGCCCCTGACCAGGTTTAATCGAGTCAAGTTAAACGGCAAGATGGCGACGAAAGAGACGAGAGTGCTTTTCGAAAATATTTTTGTACGATTTAAACGGATTTAAGCCATTTTATGTGACGAAATAGAAGTTTAAGTGTTCAATAGACTATTTTTCATATAATATTTTTGTTGTTCCTGTTGTATAGCAGCACGCTTTTTCACAGCTCACAGATTTTTTGAATTTTAAAGTGTTTTTAATAGACTAAGTCTGTTTTTCCATCACTTTTTAGTAAAGTCACTTGTATATATACATTAATCACCTACGCAATATTTCACAGTGAGGAATTCCTCCCTTTTATTGTGCACAATAAGTTTTTTATCCCACGCACCTGTATTATATTTTTGCAAGCCAAAATGGCGGCCACCTTATGAGTTTAAAACAATTTGAGTTTGGTACCCCTTTTAACTTAGACTAGCATAGCTGTCGTGATCTTATCATCAAGGGAAACAATTAAATGAACTTTCGAAAATACTTATATATTCACTTAGAACAATTTTTTACCGGCAGTGCTAGCCTGTACTCCTGATGAACTTTTAATGCAGAAGTCATACTTTTTACGATATTAGAACATTGTTATCATCACGTTAGTTTTTTATGAACTTTTTATCAATGCCAAAATAGTTTTTATTAACTTTTAAAAAAAACAACCTATGAACTTTTAACTTCAACCCATAGAGTAAAGTTATCCGTACTTGTATTCAATACTTGGTATCATCATCATGTCACACCTGTCAATTCGATCAAGGAGGACTCATAGACCAGCACAAGTCTTTACACCCTCAAGGCCCCAACTGTGTGTAGAAAGTAAAAGTGAAAATATATGTACAAAAACTTACGCACTGAACAAAAAGAAAGCACTGAAAAAGAAAATTGAAGCTTCTGATAGGGAATTCTCAGTAGTTGCGATTGTAAAAAAGGGCAATTTAGTTATCAATGGTTATTGAATGTGATGCCGGATTATTTGAGGTTTTCAAAATAGAACTTTATAGACATTTTAACGATCCGTCTTGCTCAAAAGTTCACTCTATAACTAAAACTATTGATGAAGAAGGTCTGACAGTGGAAGAAAATATCTCTGTTAAACTAGTCAACCAAAAAAGACAACTGTATAAAATCAATCTCTATAACACAACATCTCGTATTCTTGTCAATGGCTCACAGTTCTTAGAGTTCGTGAAGGTGGACCTACCAAAAGTGTTAGAGACTCTGGATAAAAATCCACTACTTAAGGAAATAAATGAAAGTATCAGAAGTGCATGTCTAGCAGGTCTCTCTCAATTAGAAACACCAACAAACCCTAATATTGGTCATGATACACAGCCTGAGGGAAACTGGGGAATTACTTCACCAAAATTAAATAAACTGTCAATTTCTGGTATATCTTATAACGCATTAACTGAAGACCTCCAATGTGATCATATTCGAGGACCCTCACTCGACTCTCAATCGGTACCTGAAACTCCAGATGTCAGTGGTGTAGAAATGTGTTCCTTATCTGTAAACACGTCGCCTATAGACATAGATTTACTTCGAGATATAAACTCTGACCTTATATTTTCTAACGACAATCATGTCCTGCTTTCTCCAACAATCTCTGAACTAGCAAAGGATAACGATAATACACTTATTTATGAAAGTCATGGTACTGATGTTACTATATCTGAGCCTAATGCAAGACCAAGTCATTGCAATGTCAATCAACCGTTACATATTGCATCACCAATGCCAGCCATTGAAAACTCGGAACTCACTATTCTTGAACAACAAGCTAAAAAAGAAGGAAAAAGAGTAAGAAAATGGGAAAAAGAACTGAAAGAACGAGAATACGACCAAAAAGCAGTTGCAAAACAATTAGCTCTATCTCGTTCAAAAATCTTAGCATTGGAAAAAACTGTGACTGATCTAGATCATTCAAATAGATTACTCAAATCCCGTTTTCTAATAGAACAAAACAAAACCAAGAAAGCCAATCCAATGAAACATCTATGAACTCTAGTCCGTTGTTAAATCAAGATCATACCTGTATGTCATCTCAATATTCAGCAAGTCATAATTTTAAAAACTCAGACATTCAAACTCAAAAGCTACTTGATACTCAAATGGAATTTCTGCGAATGCAAGCTACTCAGTCCGAAAGACTGTATGAATTTATGTCCAGAATTTGCTCTCTGGAAGTAGAAAAGGTTACAATGAAGCACGAAATTGAAAAGATAAACAATAAACTTTTAGCATCAAATAACTTTAACTTAGCTCAACAAAATGTACATCAAGCTTAACCCCATATGAGTCAGCATTTTAACATGGGAAACCTCCAACTACTGTACCAGTAACTCATCCTCAGCAGTTTGCACCTACTCTAGGCACCTCTATTGTACGACCATATTTTGTACATGTTCCAACAGCTCAACCTAGACCAGCGCAAGTCTTCCAAATGCCCACCAACCAAAATTTTGGCCCTACAACAAGGAACCATTCACAATTCAACTCTACGTATAACAACAACAATATAAGACCACAGGGAACTCATGTGGGGGCAAAAGCCCATAGTAAGAAGCAAGATACGAACTTAAAAATCAGTAAGAACATGCCCGAGAAAACTGAACATATATATATGTCAATAAATAACACTCCAAACAACACGATAGTGAGCGCAGTAGATGCGGAATATGAAACTGTACCCACGAATCATTTTTTAGAGAAAGGCCAAACATCAAATCACCCGCCGAGAATTCCAGGAACACACATAAACGATTGAGTTTTACAACACTGAACATTGAGTGCTTTACATCCAATAAGGCATATTTATTAACTTTAATGAAAACCAATTCAATAATTGTCATTCAGGAACATTTTCTGTATAATTGTGAAAAATCAAAATTGGAAAAATTCTGTTCTGAAAATAATTGGAGTTGTCTTATAAAGTGTATTGATGATACCGATCCCATTTCTAATTATGCA